GTGGACGCGGATCCTGCCCTCGGGCAGTGCCCCCGCGCTCTCGGCGCTGTCCGGCTCCCGGGACAGGGTGGACGCGTGGCTCAAGGACAGCGAGGGGCTGGAGCGCTGCTCTGCCGGTGAGCGCTGCCCGCGGGCTCTGCGGGGCTCGGAGGGTGTCCCGGTAGCCCCGGTAGCCCCGGTAGCCCCGGYCCTGACCGCGCTCGCCCCGTGCCCCCGCAGAGCTGTCCGAGTGCCAGGCCAAGCTGCAGGAGCTGACGGGGATGCTGCAGCACCTGGAGGCTCTGCACCGCATCCCCTCGGCCCCGCTCATCTCCGGCGCTCAGGTGAGGAGGGGGCGGCCGCCTCGGGGCTCCGTGCCCGGGCAGGGTCCGGCTGCAGCCCCCTCCTCTCCCTCGCAGCCCTCGGCCGCCACCGAGAGGCCCAAGAAGGGTCGGAGGAGCACCAAGATCTGGTGCACGCAGAGCTTTGCCAAGGACGACACCATCGGCAGGGTGAGGGTGAGGGTGAGATGGAGCCGAGCCCCCCGAGCTCCGCCGCCGCCCGGGCACCGATCCCCCCGGTGACCCCGCTGTCCCCGCAGGTGGGCCGCCTGCACGGCTCTGTCCCCAACCTGTCGCGCTACCTGGAGCCCCCGCAGAGCCAGCTGCCGTTCGGCGTGCCCCCGGAGTACAGCCAGCTGCAGCGCAGCTTCTGGGTGCTGGCCCAGAAAGGTGGGGCCGGGCCGGGAGCTGGGGGTCCCGGGGCGCTTTTTGGGGTGCTGACCCTCGGGGCCTGACCCTGCCCGTGTCCCCTGGCAGTGCACGGCTCGCTCAGCAGCGTGGTGGCCGCGTTGGTGGCCGAGAGGGCCCGGCTGGAGGAGATGCGGCAGGCGCTGGACCGGCAGTGCCCGGCAGCGCGAACCGGCAGCGGCGGCAACGCGGGGGTGAGGGGCGCGGGGGGCAAGGGGGTGCTGGAGGGGTCTCTCGGTTCGGGGTGTCCCCTGTCCCTGTCCCTGTCCCTGTCCCTGCCCGGGGGCCGGGGGCGGCTGCTGGAGGGTCACAGCCGGTTCTGGGTGTCCCCCTGTCCCTATCCCTGTCCTTGCCCGGGAGTGCTGCTGGGGGGTCGCAGACGGTTCGGGATGTCCCTGTCCCCACCCGGGGGGGCTGCTGAGGGGTCACAGCCGGTTCGGGGACCCGGGGGTGCTGCTGGAGGGGTCTCAGCCCGTGCGTGGTGTCCCCCTGTCCCTGCCCCGGGGATGCTGCTGGCGGGTCTCAGCCGTTTCGGGGTGTCCCCGTGTCCCTATCCCTGTCCCCGTCCCTGTCCGGGGGTGCTGCTGGAGGGGTCACAGCCCAGTGAAGGATGTCTCCCTGTCCCTGTCCCTGTCCCTGTCCCTGCCCGGGGCCGGAGGGGCTGCTGGGGGGTCACAGCCGGTGCGGGGTGTCCCCCTGTCCCTATCCCTGTCCCTGTCCTTGCCCGGGAGTGCTTGCTGGAGGGTCTCAGCCGGTTCGGGGTGTCCCCCTGTCCCCGTCCCTGTCCGGGGGTGCTGCTGGAGGGGTCACAGCCCAGTGAAAGATGTCTCCCTGTCCCTGTCCCTGTCCCTGCCCGGGGCCGGAGGGGCTGCTGGGGGGTCACAGCCGGTGCGGGGTGTCCCCGTGTCCCTATCCCTGTCCCCGCCCGGGATGCTGCTGGAGGGGTCTCAGCCATTTCGGGGGCCGGGGATGCGGCTGGAGGGGTCTCAGCCGGTTCAGGGTGTCCCCCTGTCCCTATCCCTGTCCCTGTCCCTGCCCGGGGCCGGAGGGGCTGCTGGGTTCGGGGTGTCCCCTGTCCCTGTCCGGGGGCCGGGGGCGGCTGCTGGAGGGTCACAGCCGGTTCGGGGTGTCCCCCTGTCCCTATCCCTGTCCCTGTCCGGGAGTGCTTGCTGGAGGGTCTCAGCCGGTGCGGGGTGTCCCCGTGTCCCTATCCCTGTCCCTGTCCCCGCCCCGGGATACTGCTGGGGGTTCTCAGCCGTTTCGGGGTGTCCCCCTGTCCCTGTCCCTGTCCCTGTCCCTGCCCGGGGGCCGGGGGCGGCTGCTGGAGGGTCACAGCCGGTTCGGGGTGTCCCCTGTTCCTGTCCCTGTCCCTGTACCTGCCCCGGGGGCCGGGGGGGCTGCTGGGTGGGTCTCCAGGTGTGGGGTGTCCCCTGTCCCTATCCGGGGGTGCTGCTGGAGGGATCTCAGCTGG